TGGTAGTATGTATGTATATATATATATATACACATATGAGTCTCAAGATGTATACATATATACGCATCATATGTATATATAAATAATACATGTACGAAAGAGAGAGAGAGAGAGAGAGGGAGGGGGGGAGGGAGTTATACTACACACACACACATGCTCACCTACGTAACCGTCTATGTATCCAAACACGCGCGCACACAAACACACACACCCACGGCCCACACACACACACACACGTTCCGCCTCGAACAGGCTCGACTGGCCCGTGCTCGCGGCCTGCAGGGACAGCTTGTGGCAGAATAACGTCGGTTGAAGATGAAACTTCTGGCTGGCTCCGGATCGAACATCCACACCCGGAGGGAACTTCGAGTTGTGGTTCAAGCCGTGCTTCTTGGCGACCTTCGAAGTCACCGCCAAGTCACTAAATGGGACCGCCGGATCCTTTGGACAGAGTGATTGTACCTTGGCAGTTGGAAGTAGCGACCGCTGCGAGAACGGCAGCTGGTTGCATCGAGCTTCACAACCCCGGACTTTCTCCGGACTGAGAACATGTTCATCGGAAATCTTGCGTCTCTGCCCGACAAATCTTGGAGCACAAGGAACAGGATCGACTCGCCCTGTAGATCCGCCGCGGCCTGGCAAGACAGTTTGGCTTGGGTGTTCTGAGATCTCAGCTGAGCTTCGCCGGTTGATGGAGATGTCGGGTTCAGGCGTTGGGCGATGCCTACACGGTCCTGTTTTTGTAGTAGCTTCAACACACCTCCGTAAACGGTCCCCATTCAGGAAGCAGGATCGTTAGGTGGAGCTGGATCCGCTCTTCTGGTGCACGATTCGGCAAAACCAGCGGTTCCAGTCTATCAGCTGGAGCTTGGGCCATGACAGTCAGGTCCGAAACTACCCCAACCATCCGCCTCAAATGCTAAGGCCCCTCTGCAGCAAACCCGAACCCGAGCTGTGTCACCTTTGATACCGGCAAGCCGATGTTTGAGTGCTTGCCTGGAGGTAATCTGCCAGGACATCGGCAGAAGGAAAATAGTCTTCCGTCCTCACGAAAGGTCATGTCCTACACTCTTACACTCTAAGGTGCCTGTCTAGCCCAGCCAGTACATGGACCTGAACCTCCGAACGGGTCCAGTTGGTGAAGCGCGGGATGGGCACATCCAGAAGGCTGTTCCAGTCATGTCGAAGATTGAACCTGAGCTGGGTGACTGCGGGGCCCAGTCTTGAATCCCGAAGCAGGCACAGGGCGCTCTCCTCCTTTGCCGACTCGGGAACATTTTTCCTGGACTTCTGGTCACCCAAACTTTCTTGAAGCTCTCGGCTTCAGAACCTCCCCCGGATCAACAAATTGCCATGAATCATCTTGAATATCATTCCTTCGGTCCTAGTCCTGGGCCTGGGCCATCCTCCAAAATTGTGGTCATTCCAGCAGGGCCGAGCTCGGGTAGACCTAACACAAAAAAGAGTCCTGGCGAAAGCCACAGTCACTCCACCAACCTTCGTCCGTGGCACGCTTGAAGCCAAATTGGTGCATGGCCGGATGCAGGCGTGTCGTCGCATACATGAGCGGAAAACACAGAGACCAACTCTTTTGCCTGTCAGGCTTCGGTTATGCCTCAAGACCTCATGATGCCGGGCGGCTCTGCGTTCGTAGACCGCGTGTTGCGACGGTTGATCGAGATCAGCTTCCGATGAATCGGGAACTTCCGAAACCATGCGGCCGCCTGCGGGATTATGAAGCGGAATGCTCAACTTTCTGGGTAGCTGCATCCCTAGTTTTTTGTCGATGCCCTACACATGGCTGCTACGCCTCGCGCAAGTCACGAACCCCTGCCCAAACCTGAACCTGTCCTTGATGCCAGACTTGGGGGCTTCCCAGCTGTCCATCTGTGAATCCTGGACTGAACTCCAAACTCTGAGACCTCCCAAAAGGAGTGGCCTGCGGCTGACGCTCGAAGGTGACGTAATCCAAACTGGCATTCTTCAAAAAGTGCCTGAGATGATCTATAAATCATGCCTCTGAAGGACGAGCAGATGTGCGGAAAGGGCTTGGAGTAGGTGTATAGGGATGAAATATCGTTGGACCGCAGCCGCATCGCCCGAAATCCCATAACCCTGCAGCCCTGATGGCCAAGTCGCCCCAACTGGATACCTGCAGGTCCAGCGCCTGGAGACAATTGGCGCCAGATCGAGATCGGGCCCACATGACAATTCCAGTACGTATGGCTGGTCCGACTGCCGTCTAGTGTGTCTGCAGGAGAAGGAAGATGGACGCAATTGGAAGAGCTGTGTGCCAGGGTCCAGAGTAGAGATTTATGTGCTCCTCTGTCCCTCTCCCATGGGTGTCTGCAGCTTGTCCCAAGCACCTCACAGCAGTAAACGTCTTTGCCTCGATACCATTCAAGCAGGGGTGTTGGGTGCCCGTGAATGCTTCTTTCGGTTTGGTTGCATCGGCCATGTCTGAGGTCTGTAATACGTATTTACGAGGTGAAGGCTCCAGGACTTCGTAACCAGAAGCTCTTTGAATACTGACTTCCAGGGAGGTATGATCCGTATATTTGGAACCCTATGTCCCTCAATCATGAGGAAGGGCCCATTTCTCGGAATATTGACCGGAGCTCGTATGTAAATCTATTAATGCTGCACTGGCCGGTGCTTATTCGCTGCTCGGTACATTTTCGGGCGAAGTCTACAATGCTTGTTTTGGCCCGCAGTGTTCTTTTGGCTTGCTTTCTTCCTTTCTACTAGTGGTCAATGATAACGAGACACCGGCGAAAGCTTAGTGCAGCAGGCCTCAGACTGGTCGATTGTGGGGGTACGAGTAGTGCAGGATGAACAAAATGTCTTCAACATGAAGGGTTTTCTAGTCTTGCTAATTATCTTGGAGTGATCGGGCTTTGGTTTCCGAACTTTGGAACCGTCTTACTAACTGTACCATACTACTGCACTACTGATGTACAGCTTGTGTACTACTACTGTACTTACTGTTACTGTATTACTGCTTTATTAGTACTGTACTACCATTGTATTTAATACTAAGCGATCATTGCTCAAAACCCCCGCCAAAGTAGACCCCCAGGATTGGTTTCACCTAGACCCCAAGGCTCCCCGAAACCTACCGAACCCTCCTACACCCTTCTACTTAATGATACTGCTGTGCTCCTACTGTAGAACTATTGTGCCACTGCTGTACTATTACTGTACTACTGTACTATTCTACTGCCACTAAAAAAACTATACTACTACTGTATTCGTACTGTACCTCTTTACTGCAGCCATTCAGCTTTTCCGAAGAGCGAGCCTATCGGCCAGCACGTGCCAACCCCCTTCTAAGGAGATTTCCTCCCTCCTCAACCCAACCCCCCACACCTTTGAAGAGCTAATATCCCTCTATAACACATTGGATCGGAGAAGCCTTTAAACAGGCCTTCTAAATCCTCAAAAGCTCCAAGTTCTACGGAAACCGCTCTCATAGCCTGCTGTTGTGGGCCGTGCCCTCCGGCCTACAACGCAGTACTTGCTTATCCGCTCGGCGCCCACAGCAGCCAGGGCTGCAAGGCTTTGCAGCACCAAACACCGTGCGCAAGCACCGACCATGGGCAAGCTTTAGGGTTGCTGGTCTAGTGTTGCGCCCTGTATATTAGACGTTCGGGGTAGAACACCGGAGAGGGACGATGAGGAAGATTTTTACTACTCAAACCTCGTCTTTTTGGTTTATCTTGTGCTGCATAGAGGGAATGGCGGGGCGCAAGGTTCACAGGAACTCTGGAATTGGCCCTCTTCATATACATGGGGTTGAGGCTCGAAGCTCAAGCATTGCTCAATGGTTCAACATATCAAGTTGAAAAGCGCAACCTCATGCGCTTCGCAATAGCAAGTCTCACCGGCAACTTCACTGGGCTGCCGAGTGACCCCTAATTTAACGAAAAGGGCTTCCTTTTTGCTGTGTTGGGACAAGGGTGGATTTCATCAACATTGATGTTGCTAACAATATTGCTGTTCCCGCATAGTCAGCTGCTACTGGAGCCGAGGTCCCTAGAATAGATGTGCTGGACTGTGCAATATCTCATCGCGATAACCTTAGGAATTTGTGCTGTGCTCCACATTTCAACGTCATTGCGGTGCTAGTTCGAAAGGCCATAATAGCGCTACCCTGCAGCCTTATAGTATTTGGCAAGCACGGCGGAAGGCCACTTCAGGCTAGTTTTCAGGTTTGGGGTTGAGATGCTCAAAAATCGAAAACAAGGATTGGCGCGGCCAGGAATGGACCTTCCGAGAACATCAGGCCTCTCCCGGTCACCGGGATTTTTCTGGAGTCCTAGAATGGTGTGAATGCCAGAGATGGTTCCAACCAGGAAGCTGGCTATAGGCGTGCCTTGATGCCCATGACACTCGCCCCGCGAGTGGCCACTGGTGCCAGTGTTGCCCAGTGCTAATCTCGGGCGCTAATGGTTTCGGGATGATTCGTACAATCATCACGTCGGCAGGGAACCACATAATCATGGATAGGACTGAGAGAAACTACGTAAGGCTTGCCCATCGGTTTCCCTAAATGATGCCACGCCCCGAAATGCAAAACCCAAACCCTAAGCCCCACATCCTCAAATTTGCTGTATCATGTTGCATGGTGCACATGACCTATCGAATTGGAGCCATTTTTTGATATTTAACATCAGAAAGGCTACTCCCAAAAAGGGGATAAGGGATAAGGGTGGTACTGGGCAGCCCAGTTCAATTCAAAGCTGGAACACCAAGTGACCGAAGCAAATGAAACTGCAAAGGACAACAACAAGCATGGGACCGCTGCTAGGCCATCCCCAGCCATGCCTTCAGGACTGTCCGTTGTTCGTCGTAGTTGCTTGCGGTTTAGACGGTGTAGGCCCTCAGGCTTTTCGTGGTTCCGGTAGGGAGCTTTCGACTCGTTCTGGAGCCTACGAAAGAGGTGCCAGTAGCGCAAACTTCCACCTGAAAATACCGCAGGTCAGAGGCCCATGCATGTGAAGTCACTTTAGAGCATTTGGCTGCTTTCCGCACAACTGCTGTATACTTGGCATGCAGAACTACAGTACCTAACGGCCCACACCATCAGTGGGAGAAGCCATCTGCATGATCTACAAGTCATGATAGAACCGGCAGCCTGGATGGGCAACAAGATCATGACGAAGCGAGAAAACACAGTCGAATACAATGCAAAACTAGTCGCACGCGAAATCAACGATGCTTTGTGAACTTACAAGACTCCATTTCTCAGATTCCCGTGACTTGGGACCATCTTGCTTTTGAACCTTGACCCTTTGCTTGACCACATGCATAGGTGCAGTGTCTGCGATATGCGCATGTAATTTCTGGAGCTTTCCTGTGGGGTATCGGAGTCTTTGCTTGGCCTTGTGCCTTGCTGGCTGCAAGTCTCCACGCTTCAAAACAAAAACCTTCTATGCACTTGTACAGCTGCAACAACAGGCATGTAAAGATCGCCTAAGCAGCCAGCCAAACTTTTGATGTGAAACACGGTGAAACGAGCACCGCAATGCGCCTTCGGTGCATAACGGTTGTGGGCTATGACCCATCAGCTGCATACCGGAGTCACGAAAAGCAGCTGCTTGGGCACAGCAGTGCCAACTCGGAATCCGAAGTCATGTTCCGGCAGCCGCAAGCTTCCTCCCCGGACCAATCATGTTTGTTCCATAAAAGACTGGTTGTAAGCCAACTGAATTAATTCGTGAATCAGTTCTGGGAGGGGTCTTCTGTCGCTCCACGAAAAACGGACAATCAACATGAGCACATGCCAAGATTCGTGCGAGTTGTGCAGCTACAGGAGCATCCCACACATGAACTTTATATATATATATATATATGTATATATATATATATGTGTGTATGCCTCTCTCTCTCTCTCTCTATATATATATATAGACAGGTATGTACATGCACATACGCACATGTACATGTAGACAGATGCGCATACGTACATGTAGAGGCATATGTATATATGCGCATGTATACGTAGACATATATGTATATGTATATGTAAAAGTATATACATATAAATGCATGTGCGCGTGGATTTGTGTATGTGTGTACATGTGTGTGTATAGGTGCATGTATGTTCTGTTATGCTATGTCAGTATATAAGTGCAAATGCAGATGCAGACGCAAAGGAACACGTCTATGTGCATGTATATGTATATATGTGCATACACATATTTGTGTGTACGTGTGTATACCTGTATATGTGTGCATATGCAAATGTGAATTACGTATAGAGGTATGTACGTATGCATGTAGATATGCATATATGCATATATATATATATATGGACATGCTTGTCAATATGATGTATGTATCTGTAATTAGGCGTATGGATTTGTAGATGTCTATGTCAATAGCTGTATGTGTATGTTCACATATATATATATATACACATCTGTACATTCACAAAAAAGGCATATGAATATGCCTTTGTATGCATGTATGTATGCATGTATGCATGCGTGTGTGTGTGTATGTATGTATGTATGTATGTATGTATGTATACCTGTACACATGCTTGCATGTAGACGTGTTTACATGTATATACATGCATATATGTGTACATATGTATGTATGTATGTAGGTGTATGCGTATGTGTATGAACGAATGAATGAATGAATGAATGAATGAATGAATGAATGTATGTATGTATAGATACACACATAGGTAAGTGCACATGCAGATGCATATGTTGTGTGTGCATATGTCTATAGGTAAATGCGTATATAC